GGGGTGCCACGCCGCGGTCGGTCAGCCAAGGGCGGCCAAGGGCCTCGGGCATCACCTTGGGCCGCGGCTTCTGGAGGATGCGCATGGCTGACCTGCAAGAACAAGCGCGGCGGATGGTGTGAAGAACGAAGGCATAGAACATCGATGAAAACCGAACATAGAACTGTATGCATATGGGCCATCGTTGGGGTTAGAGGACTCTCGCCACCTCAAACATCATCAAAGCCTTCCCGCTGGTCATCTTTCGGAGACCAGACCTCGAGTGAATCGGTTGCTAAGTCAAGAACATGTATTTTACATGCTGCCGGTGTCCTTGGTTCGACACCGACATGTCAAGAAAAACATCCTCCACATCCCACTGTGCTGGGAAGACATATCATGTGTAAATCAATATAAGAATATCAAACAGGTTCCAACCATGCCAACCATGCCAACCATGTTCCAACCATGCCAACCGGCCGCAGGTCACGGTGGCACCGGTGCCTCTCGGTCTGCACGGCGGTCTCACTGGTGGAAGGCACCTGTGTGACTTTTTCACAGCGTGACGAGGGAGCGATGCGGCGGATTCGGCGATCAGGGGGATGAGGATCCCAGATTTTTTGGATGGATCATCACCCTGACCATCAGGGAGAGTGAGGGGGGATGAGATCTCCACTTGTCAGGGGGATGAGATCCCAGATTTGGAAAGGAACGTAGCAAGGACGCTACGAGTTCGGAGCGGCATCCCTACGAACGGAGCAAGGACGCTACGAACGGGGCGCTCCTGGCCTTACTACTAGCGGATAGTTTTTGAGAATGGATCTTAAGATGTCACGGGGATCTACAGGGGTTGATTTGCTCAATTCCCTGCGAATAAGCATCAGTCTGTCTGCCAAAGCCCAGGTCGCGGCCCCGGAAAGTAGCGCCCCAGGTCACCCCTTATAGGACCTGGAGTCTCAGTTTGTACCTCGGAAACTGAGTACAATGGATTTCAATGGTACAACCCCAACACTCCAGAATATAATACATATATGCATGCCTACATTCACCCCTTGTAGCCTACATGGAGTGCAGCAGCCTGTCGTCTTTCGCAGCACAGCCCAGCACGCGGTTCCGCCTTGTCATAGGTGGTCCGAATCCCCCGCAGCCAGCCGAACCTTGGTCTTCACGTCTCGTGGTACTGCCGTGTTCTACCTCTCGAAGGTCCAGCACCGCCGTGTGCCGCGGCTAGTTTCCCGCTAGTCCAAGTCATGGTGGTCTTGGGAGGATTGTGAGTCCAAACAGATGCCGAGCTCGGATCGTTGACTTCATGATGTCGTTCGGGAGAGTGGGTCGCAACAGGTCAGAGAATTCCAACACGAAGATTGTTGGTAGAGGCAACATGACAACATCCCACCGGAAAGTTGGGAACATTCCCAGGAAAAACACACTACCTGGATCTTCCAACGACCAAAAGTTCTGGTAGTTTTGGTTATTGACCCGGTTTTCCGCGCAGACGGCCGCAAATCAGCACAACCGACAAAACGACTGCAAATTAGCGCAAAAATGCGCACAAAAATAAAAAAACACCAGAAATTGTTGGTAGTTAGAAGGTCCAGGCATACCTTTACCCATGAACATCACCCATTTCGGTGGCGTAACGACATCACACAAATCCATTGTGGATCGTCTCTGAAAAAAACTAGGGATTCCTTGGATACCCGTTGCTCACCTACTCTGCCCACCGTTCGAAGCGCACCTCACTCGGTTCCGAAGCCTCTGCCGGTTCCGGCCCAGCTCCCCTTCCTGAGTGTCCGCTCCCGCAGTACTTTCGCTCATTGGGCCTCACAGGGAGGTCCATTGGCCTTGTTGTGTTCATCTGCGTTGGTTTTCCCTACATATTATATATGACATGGATGTTTTTGTAGACAGAAAGCTTAGTTGTAATAACTGATTCTGTGATATTCTGTGTATGCATGTATATATAAACATATGACTGACCCAACGAGACCGCATATGCACATCAACTGGAGACCAGTTTGACACCTTGCGCTGCGGGGAGCCAGCCGAACCCGCAGTGGAAGTTCTGACTTTGTGATTCGGTGGTTTGACCATTTGGCTTTCGCGGAAACAAACAACTTGCTTCCATCTTTGTAACATGTGTACATATCATATATATAGAGAGAGAGAGAGCCCATGTTACCTCTGATTTGATAGGAAAAATAACAGCATTATTTGGGTGGTTGGTAGTCCAAAACAGAAGTCACTGAAGCTCTGGGTATAATACATATATACAAAAGATATCAAAAGATTACAAAAGCCAAGTGAATGAAGCTGAAGCTTCACATCCTCTTCTATCTGGCAGGACAGCTCATGACGAGCCTAGAACCATCGTGGACTTAGGAAGCAACCCCCTCGGTCCGCAGCGGTGATCACAAGCGTGTACTGACGAATTTTGTTGGCCAAACAAACAAACGATAGCAAACGCTCGTTCATCAGTTCTTGGTCAACCCTGCAGGTGCCTGGGCATGAGTGTTGCCCCAGTCGGCCACACGGATTTCAATGCGCGAGGTGTCGCACGATCGGGGGCCTAAGTAGCCAGTGCTTGGAGATCGCCTTATTTCTGCAACATTGAGTAAGTTGTGACTCCAGCAAACCGGATTATCGGACATGCGTATGTTGTATGATGTTGTATGTCTGTCTTGTCTTAATTGAGTAGGGATGTTTGACGGTTCAGACCTGAGGTGGTTGAACTGTAGTGTATACTTCTATCACCTCCTACTTCACCACTACAGTATGTCCTCGCGGCAAATGGAATGCCCTTTTTTCCACGTGACGTGACTTTGTGTTTAGCCTGGTGGATCGTGTCGCATGAAAAAAGGACATGTAGTAAAGGAACTCATGTCAACACATACTCGACTTGCAAAGAAAAAAGGCCAAGAAGGTCTGGACAACTTTTGCATACTGTTTTGTAAACTTGTCTGAAGTGGGATGAGATGGGAGGTGTTTTATTATGTCTTATTCAACGTCCCAAAGATGATTTTGCCTTTGTATGTCAGTCACACTTGCATTGACTCTGAAAATAAACAGCTGCAGCATCGCAGGGTCACTCGAACAATAGAACAAGCACGGCAACAGGATGAGCCTAAAATTGCCTAAAGTCTTCTGATTGTCCTGCATTACTTATCCGTAACTTCGTCTTGATTGCCAGAAGTGGATTCGAATTGATTCACCACCACCACTGCACTGTTCACTGCGGCGGTGCGGAATCGCTGAGAACGCCGGACGGAAAGATCCTCGGACGGAACCACTCCTTACAGAGAGTGGTGTTTATACAGCCCAAACACAACTAATGGGGCAATCCAAACACCGCCCCCAGGGCAGTTTCAAGGAACGCAAAAAGAAGAAATCACAAGAACACTCAACATATTTATACTATGTTATAGATTAAAAACGATCTTGAACATGAAATGGCTGATCCATCGAACTCCTGCAGCAAACGGTGGGTGTCTGGGCCTCGAACAAATTCCGAGTTTTGCAGTTTCCTTCAGCCACTGGGGAAAGCGGGCGTTATAGCGCTTTCAAAGTGCGTTGATACATGTTCAGCAAACGTCATGCAAATAGACACCACAGATTTGTGTTAAACTCGATACTGGACACTGAAAAAAACAACAAGGTCGGCAGTGTCGTGGCTCGCAGCTGTCGTTGTTGCTGAGGTGTGTTTGGTACTCGTGTTTTTTTTCGGTGTTTGGTACTTCACTTTCTTGTCCTGTGTTCCTGTCCTGAGGTCCATATCCGTCCAGTTCTTCAAAACCACGTAGTTCGGGTTGCTCAAGAGAAGCAACATGTACGTATATACTTGTCATTGTAGTGGAACTCCAATTTTACACTCTCCCCAGTCAGGTTGAGGCCTCAATGGCACCAATTCCAGAAGACATCAGAAAGCCAGTCAGGCTAAAGGTTTACAACGTCCCCAAGTCCCCGAGATCTAAAAATCATAACAACCCCCCACCTCCGTCTACGCACCGGGGACCATATGAAAGCCCAGATTCAGTGAGCCCTCAAACAAAACTAAAACCATCAGCAAATACCACCTAGCAGTCCTTTGGGGGAATATAATATAAAACTCTACTCAACTCTACTCAGCACTCTTGGCAGGTTCATCAGGGTTCAAAATCACGTATGTTTCCAGTGTGGTCTGTGTCTGACAGTGTCCCATGGTAGTCAGACGCCCTTGTTTTGGCTGAGAATTTGAACGTCTGAACACTTTGGTTCAAACCGGTCTGTTCCAAGTTTCAGAACAGACAGCACGAGTGAAACCTCAATCTTCAGCCTTGCAAAAACGGCGGGAAGGTAATGGGAGGAGCTGCCAAACTATGCTGGCATCCACCTGTAGCAACTATGCTGGAAAACTCCAGTTCACCACTTGGGCTCTATTCGGAATAGGGGTTAGAACAAGGGCACGACCAGGTGTTTCACTGATGTCGGAAACGGTTGAGACATGTTGAGATAGAACAAGTTATGCCAAAGTCAATTGGTTTTGTGACTGTCCAATCTATTGCTATATCCTGTGGGACACATCCTCTGGGCGCAACGACTATGCGGAAAAGATCCGACTGTCAAATGGCCACCCTCACCCTGTTGCAAACAAACAAGCCTGGGCACCTCCTAGCTCTTCCCAAACTGGGGCGAATGCCAAAATCAGCAAAAACCTATTGCAGCAAACAAAGGAAGCAATATAATGCAATATAGTCCAAAACAAACAAACAAACAAACACACACACACTTGGAAGAAAGCTCGCAGGAGCACAAATCGGTGAACGACCTGTCAAAATCACCTGGAAATGGCCCTGGGCAAACGGAAAGGTGAAAAGTCAGAAAACAGTATTGTTAGTAGCTAAAGCTACTAGAAACAAGGTGCATCGCTACTAGCAACAAGGGCAATACTACTATAGTAACAAGAAGCTACTAGTAGCAAAGGGCATTTCTAGTTTTTAACCACAGAACAAATTGCAGGTACGTAGTCAGACAGCTCTAACTGCGTCGGCATCACTGAGCCCGTGATGTCCGTCGTGATGCCATGCGCTGGCCCGCTTGTTTAGAATGGTTAAGTCTCGAATTTGTTCGCAAAACGAAAGTGTGAAATTGCAAAACGTTGGACCCTTAGGAGAAGGGTTTGACACACGGAGAACGAACGAAGGTCCGAACGTAAGAACGATTTTTTGTCATTGGCATGTCCCAGTCGGCCTTTGGTATCTCTGCCACTTCCTCCTGAGCAGATTGAATGCACGTTGAATCAAGGTAGTAGTTAAGTCCAAAACAATCATGTCCTCTTGCCTTGCTTTGCTTACCTTGCCTTGCTTTCCTCTTACCTTAGCATGATCCCAAATGGATCCTTTGGTACCTCTTGACTTGCTTTCGTTGGGGCTCAAGATGACAAGATATGACAAGGCCCTGACAAAACATATGTCTTTACGCCCGATTTGGTGATCCAAAAAAAGAACAGGTCGTTCAGGTTCCAGGGTTCTAGTTTTTAAAACGGTCTAAACATCTAAGTTTTATATAAAACTTATCTCACAAACCAACAAAATTGTAAAAAGGCAATCCTCTGAGCCCAAAGAGGACCAGCCCGTCGTCCCACCGTGGACCACGACCAGGAGGCTGTGTTCTTCAAGCTGCAATGTATTTCAGAAGATCTGATGTGTTTGTATGATATTTAGTAGGTAGTTATAAAGAGCTGAATGACACCTCTGATTCGTTTTTGATACAACAAACACATAGATTCCCTTGCATGCTCTGCCCTGCGGCAGGCCAGTCCTCTTCAGTAAACTTCCTGACGGAAATGTGATGCTCAGGGATGCTCAGGGTCTGTGTGAAGGATGAGTCTGCCAAAGCACCATAAACATATATAGCTCTTACAGCATCTTACAGCCTTTGGTGGCTACCTAATTGAGCTGAACAACAAAACATCTTCATCTTAAAACCCTTATCCCAGCTGTTCCCGGTCGCAACCTTCCTTACCTGATACATCCTGTTTCTGCGTTTCTCGCCTCACTATTTTGCTGCACTGTTTTCGTGGAAGAAGCAAATCGGAAGATCTCTCGGAAGCACCAATTCTATGAGTTGTTTCATTGGAACCAAACGTTCATGGCAATCCCTGCTCAAACCGGGCCTGGGCACACGGCTCGTCTCTTTCAGCAGTTGCTGTGGAGTATACCTGTCGCCGGCTTCATGGGCACACCATGACAAAACAATGCACAAAAGTGATCAGGTGTAGGTGCATGACCTCGGATCTTGAGAAACTGGAAATAGTATACTGGGGTCAGATGACTTAGGCGAAAGTGGTCCGATATTTCACCCTAGTAGAACTGCCTCTCACCAGTCCTCATGCAGCACCCCCAGCGTGGGAAACGTAGAAACCCGCGGTCCTCCAATCCCAAACGTCCAGGGGGCCTTTCGTCCCGGTCGTAAGGATTGTCCAAGACCTGCAACGGCCGTGGGCTCGGGAGCTGCCGGCAGCCTGGAGGATGAGGGAACCAGTTGTAAAGAAGATTCCCCAGGGAGCCGGGGGATTCACATGGCACCCAGGTTCGCGCCAACTTCACCTGTCACCCAGGTCGATATACCTTCCCTAGGGATCCAGTCGTACCGAACCTCAGGTACGGTGATGTGTTCGACACAGTTATGTAGGCGCCAAAACGTCGGGCCCAGTCGTACCTCCGTTTCGAAGGTGGAGAAAGTGGATCCCTAGGCCTTTAGTCTGGGGACATTCTGGGACGGCCCAGAGAGAATGAGGAAACGCACCTTGCAAAGCAGGACTCGGTCCCGAGTCGGTCTGAGTGCAGCCGGAGCAGAGAGGGGGTTCGGGTCCTGAAAGATTGGAGCTGGGAAGATGATCCTGTGATGGTTGGTGTTTGTATTCTGTGGGAGAATTCTTCATGTCCCTGTAGAGTAGAGTCCTTGAATGTGTTTTCTTGTTGTTCGTGTTTTCCTCACAGCATCTCCTGGCCAAAAAAGCGGGAAGTCGTCCGCTAAGCCGCGATCAGCCCAGGCAACCTCGTGTCCAACCTCGTGTCACATGTGAAAGGACCAACAGAGGTTAAAGGACCCGACTAGCCTATCCCAAGGTATCGCAGGTGACGGTCCTAGTTCAGGTCACTGGATACCTCTCTTGGGAAGTTCATTCATCCTCATGGCCCGAAGGGGCTGCAATCTGCAGGATTGGCGCGGCGCGCTCGGCTTGGGGGTCGCCCACTTCCCGACAATCCCGACGTGTAGCCTCAAAGAAAGCATTCTTAGTGCCAAATCTTCAGTCCTTTATGTAGGTGTAGCAGTCACCCAAACCAAGACGACCTTTCAGAAGCCGCATCCTGGTGAAAAGGGATTATATCGCCATCCCCACAGCACAAGCATGAGAGTCTTTTGGAGGGTTTTCCAAACCGGGATACCTTGGAGTGACCTCTGTCGATAGGCCTTTCAAGGTCTTTCGCGCCCATCGCCAGGCCCAAAGGGATGCAGTCCTATACCGTAAAAAATAGGCTAAGCTGCGATTGGAGACGACGTCGGCCGTAGGCCCGGCATGGCATGGGCCCAGTCGTTCGAGGTCCGGGCAGGTACGATCCCGGTGCGCGGTGTCTCTCGAACTCCAGACCTGAACCGCACCGTGATGGTCTCCGGTCTCCCGCCTTCAAGGCCCGATTTCGCTGTGGAGCCACCTGGACGAGGGCACGCACCCGGATCCGTGGAACAGCCAACCGGATCCTGGTACGACCGGTGGTTGCTGGTTGGTTCGAACCAGTTTCCAGATCGTTCGTTCATCCGAAGCGGACGGAGAGAGGATGGACCAGGCTGGATTCTTGACTCACAGAAAGCGCGATTCGCAAAATACACAACATACCAGGACCCTCCAAGGGGTGTCCAATGGACTACCCCACACTACTTACCCCTTGGAGGGTCCTGGTATATCCACTCAGTCCACGAAGAACAAAACGAGACGAAGTCCGCCCGAACCCGCTGTACAAATTGTTTGATGTACAAGACGTCGTACACTTCCAACAGTTCATCGGATGTACTCTCCACCAAAACCGAGGTATGTTTTTACATGCAAAAAACAATCATGTTCCGACCTGAACATGTTCTTTTTCATGTTACATTTGTGGTGTGTGTGTGTGTGAAACATGTTTCTTTGGGACAATTGAAAAAACATCGATCTTCCCTGCAGCTGCCGCCTAACATCTGGCCAGAGCCAGATGTTTGGCGCTTCACTCGAAGGATCGCCGCGGTATCCAGAAACCGCGCGGAGCAACTCGCCTTCTCATCGGTGCCCTCAGAGCCGGTCGCGGTGGTCCGAAGATTCGGACGATTGCGTTTACCGCGCGTTTACACGCGCGCGCGCGCACGTGTGTAAGCGTGTGTGTGTCGCCATGCGTTCCAGATAGGGCCATAAGAAAAACGCCACAATAAATTTGAGGCAGGCTAAAAGGACAGTCTTATGTAAATCTGATCGTTTCAGCCACACTCGAAAGAACGAGGTCACATCCGGCCCCACTCGTCCATTGTGCTTTACACCATATATTGTGAAAATCGCCCATCCATGATGTCGGTATATTTTCAATTGGACTTCAAGCTGTCCGCATCCAGATATTTATTGCCAAGCGTAATTACATGGTCCAGATTCTTCTAACGAACACGGGAAAAGACTCTGACTCGGATTTCATCCACCCAAAGAAGCTTCAGTGCATGGTGGAGCTGGGCGCCTTTCCTGCGAGAAGGGTTTTGCCTCAAAAGCCATTCCCGACCAACCACCATTGATCACATGATCATGCTCAAACGGCTGGAAGGATCACAAAAACGGATTCTAAGGTACAATCCTACAAAACCACTCTTTAGTCTTGCAGTACAGAAAAACACATAGACTGCAGTCTCTATCTTACTCCACGCACCACGCATACCCAAGTTTGTTTGCCATCGAAGTTCGACATCTATTCTGAAACTACTCTAAATGAGCTCTGCTACTGCTAGACCCTTGCGACTTGCAAAGGTCCCTGCTGATCCCTGCTTGGAGATGTTGGCATGGGGACTTGCTGAATTCATGGCTTTGAACAATATTGAATATTCCAAAACTAAAAATTGCTTCACCTTGCTTATTCATTGGTCATGAGTCATGCTTGTTTTATTCTTGTTCTGAGGCAGCCACATCTCTGTTGAGCTTGCCTGAGTCACAACAAACACACACCATCGAAGGAAGCGCGTCCCACGCAGCCGTCGGCCGGGTTTTCAAGGCGGAAACCCTTGAAACAATAGCCTTTTTGGGTATCGCCTGGTGCAAATCGCTTTCCACCGAATTAGTACAATCAAAGGTTTTTTCCTTCCATCGTCCACTCAGTTACATGAACTCACCAGGGTCCCTGTAAGTCTCAAATACCCTTTTGGCTCTGAAAGAAAAAAGAAAAGAACAAGGACACGGAAGCTCACGAAACAAAATGACAAAAAGAGCTGTTACCACATGTGCCTGAACCACAGGTTCAATGTGAAGAACTAACGAACTGGAGGGCGCCAACACCTGCGCGGCGCGGCCGCGCGGATCCGCCTGGGCCTAGCTCCACCACACGTTCGACCACTGCTTTTGGACTCACCACCACCTGAGGATTTGGACGCCGCACGCACCACAAGCCTCACACGACCCTTGCTGAAAGCCTGAAACAAAGCCAACCGCGGATCGGTTTCACCACTGGCTATGGGAAGCTGGTGAAGGTCATGTGTGAAGGTCATGTGCAGTGTCCAAAGTACTGGTTGCACCTGGTTGCACCTGCCACACGCATCACAAGATGAGGCCCTGTAAAGCGGTCTTAGACGTTGAAGTGACCCATTACTGCCTGACCATGACAACGCGGGGGATGCTCAAGCGACATGGTGGATCCATGTGGCAGGGTGCGGTTGCTGCCAGCCAGTCATACAGTAGCCAGCCAACCCGTGTAGCGGTAGCGGAAGCGCTTTCTTGATTCTACGACACGCCTCCGTAGAGTGCCACGACATCTGGACGGAGGCGAATTCGCCCTCGCTCGAGTGACAAGATGGAACACCCTTTATTTCGCGTCGCGTTGCTGCAAATACACATGATCAGAGGTGATCTTACAGTTGCAAGATCACCTCTGTAAGTAGGTTATGTCTGAACTATTTGGCCAGACGATCACGACAGACCGCAGGATCTGCAGGACTACACAGATCTGACAAACCTCTTCGACGTTCAGCCATGTTCCGCGGCAAAGACTGTGTAGACCACGCAGCCTACTGAACACGTAACCTGTAGACGAGGCACATACGTTCGGCCGTGTTCCCGTCCGTCCCTCAGCTCTTTGTCTCCGTGACAGGTGCCACCGGGCGCCCATGCCCAGGCGTTCTCGTGCTTCAGCAGGAAGTGGTGGCGGAACTTCTGGAGCACCTGGCGCGCGGACTGGGCTCCAGTCGTACCTTCGTTTCGTTTCGGTGGGACGACGGGGGGCCCGGGTGTCAGGAGGGTCCAGTCACACCGAACCTGAGAAACTTGGAGCACTAGGGCAGCTGATCCTGAGACTAACCTTGTCTTGCACAGTGAAGAATCTGGCAGGCTTCTACAGTCTGAGCGATTGGCTTCTTGCTAAGTACCACCCAATCAGTCCATTCATGGCGGAACATGTTTAGTTTTTTGCTCACTTCAAGGTTTGGGTGGATATATATATACCTTGTAGAATAATATATACCAGCACCCTCCGAGACGCCTGGGCCTGCGCTGCCGTGTGTGCAGTTTGTGCTCTCTTCTCCTTCATCCACACCACCTCTAAGGTACGGCGATTGGGGCGAAGTGAGGGTCCAAACACCTTCGTTTCAGGAGCTATGACTGGATCCCTGGGGGCTTCCTTCGCTTGGATGAGACCAAGCGCTGAACCTTCGAGCGCTCCTACAAACCATCAAGCCGTGTCCGACACCCGTGCAGCTCGGCATCCCAAGCGCTCCGCCAGCCACGATTGACCTCCGAACAGAATGAAAGGATACTATCTCTCTCATCCCCGGACCATCCTGTCTGGATGTCCCTGGGTAGTCGCAGTGTAGAACCCTCCCTGGTCCAATCGAATCGGTGTAGAACCCTCCCGGCCTAGGGCTCCGATCGGCCCATCTCCTCAGGTTCGGAGGTTTAGACCCACCCCTGGCCCATCTTCTCCGAAACGGAGGTGGTCTTCGACCCCCCTGGCACCTACGGCCCATTCGAACCGGAGGAAAACGGGCCGTTCGTTCGCCCAAACGGGAGAAACCCACCGACCGACCTCGACCGAACCCATCCACCCCATCCACCCCCATCCGCCCCCCACCTCGGCCACCCGCTGCGAGGACTCATCGCCCAGCTTCCAGGCCACATGGACCTGGGAGACGACGACAAGACACCGGGAGGGAGAAGGTCGATGCAAAGACTCCATCTTAGGTGGTTGAGAAGGTTTTTTTCCCTCAAAAAGGGATAGATTGCATGTGAAACCATGAGGTTCGGAAGAGCAGGAGGAGGATTTCAAGATGGAGAGGCTTATGAAGCAACATGGGGCTGCACTTGAGGTTGCTCCTGAGAAAGTGCTCCATCCCTACCATCCTGAGGAAGGTATCTGTGGATCTCGAAAACTGAACGCCTCGGGGATCTGAAGGTCCCGGCAGTTCATCCAAGAATCTCTGCAAGTCAAACGATGAGACAAGCACGGAACTCTCACGAATCTCCGATATCGAATCATTGCATGCTTCGGGTAGCTTTCAGTACAACTACAGTGCTTTCAAAGGCTGGATGGGACAAATGTCCAATGTCGGTGGCTTAGAAAGGACCCCCATCTGTCTAGGACATCTTAGGTCTGCGCCATCGGACATCATGGAAGTTGATAACCCTGTCGCCAGACATCATCTCAACTACTCAGCTATGAGCAACCTCAACCACACCACCCACATGCGATCATGGATGCAAAGGGAGATAAAACAGGTCCCAAAGTTGACACCAGCAGTTACAGTACCACTAGATAGACCACTATGAGACTATGACATGTTCCTCTGAAAGAGTTGTGGGCCTCAATCCATTTTCCTAACAGAACACAACTCTTCTGATTCTTCTGAGACTCCCCCACAGACAGTCCTCAGTGTCTGGTCATGATATGTCTGGTATTTCCGAACCACCCAAATCCAACAAAAACAGGTCCAGTCATGTCCAGTCCAAAAAGGCTCCCGCTTCCAGCTGGCCCCCATGTGAGGGTCCCGGCCGCTCCGGCCCCCCCCCCCCCTGCTCCGGCGGCTCCAGCCAGCCGCTCGGTCCCGCGCCATGGCAGCGCACTTCACCTCCTGTGTGACACATCCGAAGGATCCGTATATATTATAGGGAATTGATCCCCAAGGTCAACCGCCCCCACTGTAAAGACAGTCCCATGGAGTCCCGTTTGGGATCCGTTCTCGTACCTTCTACCTCAGGTTCGGTAAACCTCCTGGACCCGACGTGACTTGGCACCGCTACATAGCCATAGCGTTGTCGGTCGAACAGTCCTCACCGTACATGAGGTTCGGTACGACTGGATCCCCATAAAGTTTAAGTGACCTCTTTGGAGTGACCTCACTTTAAGTGAGCAACTCCACAGGCCGTATGAAGTGACCTCAGGACTTCTTCCGTGACCTCTTTGGAGTCTCTATTTAAGTGACCTACTATACCAGGACCCTACAAGGTGCCCAATGAGAAGCCCATAGGTAGTGTGGGGCAGTCCATTAGACACCCCTTGGAGGGTCCAGGTAGGATATAAATAACAGACTGACCGGACTTCTTCCTGGGATCTCAAGGACGATCACGAACTGGTTTGGTCCTGGTGGAGGAACGATTCGTCTCTGTTTGCTCCATGAGCCAAGAACGATTCGTCTCCGTTTGTTCCATGCTTGCATGGGGATTGATATTTAAACTCTTCAAGGAACGGAACGGTCTTGCAGGATTTGGGGATGACACGTCCTTTCAGTCCTTTCCAACTTCAGAAATTATGATGCTTCGAATCTGAGGGTTGGAATGGTGCTTAGTTAATACATCAACTCTGATAAACCCAGGGTCAACCAGGAGTCCAGTCCACCTGTTTCTTCATGAGACCCCTACTGCTGCAAACTTACATGGTCCCTCTGATGTTTTTGCTTGAGCCCTAAGCCCCAAGCCCTTGTCAACTGGAAGTGGGAAGAAACAGCAAAACTATGCAAAACTTCAGAAGTTTGAGCGGTTGGTGTTCACATCTCCACCAAACAGATCTAAAAAGGGATCTTTTTCAGATTGCCTGTTTCGTGCTGCAACTGTAACAGGGAGGTCAGTGAACCAATCTCTATTTCCCGCCCAAATCTGGACCCTAGGGCTCCAGTCGTACCTTCTAAGAAGGCGTGCCAGGAGGGACCAGTCATACCTTCTGAGAAGGTAACCTCCCGGAGCCCAAACTCGAGGCCGTACCGGCCAACCGGCCCACCCACTCTCCCCGACGCGACTCGGCTCTTGACCGACCGCCTACTTTGCCATGGCGCCCAACATCGACCACGCGACGCCCCCGTTCGACCGACCGCGAGCGACCGCCGCGGCGATGGCGCCAAGTCACCGGGAAATATCCCATCAACACATTCATCGTCTCCTGGACCCCCAAGACGGAAAAGCAAATGCCCCGTCGCGGTACCGGAGCATGTGCCCGTCGCCCGGCGCACGCCGGGTGTGAGAAACACAGACCTGCAGGCTCCACCCGCAAAGCGCAGTGGGAAGACGATGGACGACGGGACCCCCAAAGCCCTTCAAACCCCTTGAGGGCCTGGAATTCGGAGGGGCAGTGGGAAATGGTACTTGTGAAAAACATCACCTTTGGGCTGAGGTCTAAGGTGAGCATGAGGCTGGTCCAGCAAGATCTTGACTAGAACAAACTTAGACACTTCAACTGCTGCTCGACATACAAGCCTTTGAGCAAAAAACAACTCACAATTGATTGCTGGTTCGGTGCTTACATGCTGCCAGTCAGCATTTTTGACTGGGCACAAAAGCACAAAGTCAAAAGACCGTGCTGATCAAAAACATACTGCGCTCGCAGTAGGGAAAATAATTCTCCAACGCGACCTTTGGCAAGCCTGATCACCTTGGGCTCGTCGGCCATTTACTCACTGTTACTGTTACCCATGTTGTGATGTTAGCCACGGAAGGGAAGGCAGCTTCAAAGAAGAGCTTGGCGCATTTCACCCCAAACGCACACTTCACACTTCGCCAAAAAATGCCAAACACATAGATAACTTAACCCATCCCCCAAACTCGCATGCCCATCGGAATCCTCAGTACTTTTGTTACTGGTCCGGGTAGTGAACCCCCCTTCGTTCGTTCGGTCTTTCTGTTTTTCCCCACAGCACCCACCCGAAGCGCTCGCATCGCCGCCCGGCTGCACGGCAGCGGCTCCTCCTGGGTCACCAAAGTGAAAGGGTCCAAGCGACCGTGCAAGTTCACCTCGAGCTCCGCACCGAGAAGGCGGTTCGGGCGCAGCGAAGCGAAGCTCACCAGACAGGAGGTGAGATGGGGAGCCTGTCCTTTGAGATAGGATCGATCTAAGAGTTGGATGAGTCAACTGGATCCATGTGGGTGTTACGGTCATCCTCCTTAATATGTTTGGGTTTGGGTTGGTTTTCACTCGGGGGGGGGGTGCGACGCAAAGTTCAGAACACCTCATTGATTCGGTTCGGGGTCCGGCGCGCTCGTCCCTCCCGTTCCCTGTGAAGTTACTCTGCATCCAATAGAAAGAACTTGTGTCTCATGTCCGTCCATCTCAATTTGCCCTGCCAAACCCTCTCAGACCCTGGTTGAGTAGCCACAAAGCATCAACCTCTAGTTCTGAAGAACACGCATTGGTCACTTCGTCGTTGTGCACTGAAGACTCTCCAAACTCCACACTCCGAACTGAAGACTACACCAAGCCAAAACTGCTCACCAGCAAGGCCAGGGGTCGGTCGGATACATAGGGCCGCACCGAACCCAAAAGCCAAAGCTGTTTAAAGGTTCGGCTCAGATGTGGCCACATCTTGGGTCGGATGCATCGTTTCAACACCATGGCTGAACAGCAGGCGAGACCTTCGCCCTTTCTCACCGAGGCTTCCGGCGAAGCTCTCGCCACCCGCAGACCTGAGAAGTGGTCACGGCTCCGTTTGGAGCCAGGGTGAGGCCCACCAAACACATCCTCTGAAAGGCTAAGATGCTACCAGTGACTCGATAGCAAATTATATAAGTGACTCTCATTACTGACCCGGTACCATAGAACATTGGACATGACTCCATAAAAAGGTACTGGATGGCACACTGGATGGTACTGCATGGTACCAATATTCCAAGGTACTTGGAGTCTCCAGGTTTTGTAGTGACTATCTATACAGTACTATACCTCTAGGGCTCCAGTCGTACATGCTCAGAAGGTATTGGACCCTCCTGGCACCCACCCCAAACACCTGCTTAGAAGATACGACTGGAGCCCTAGGGTATATCAGATGTGATCCATTTCCCTCCATGTGACGCATGTGAATCCATGTTGAAGCTACAAATGTCTGACGCCCGGTCGCAGGCCTGAGGTTGATCGATGGAGGCTATGGTGTCGTCCAGGAGACTCACTCAGCGACTCGTTTGTATGGATCTCGGATGCATCCATTTCATGCCCGGCACTCCTATCCTCGCGGTGAGGATAGAAGTTGACATGCACAAAGATGACAGGCCGATCGCAGCGCAGCTGCTGCACGTTCCACTCGAGAACACCTTTATAGTCAGACTCTACAGCTTTGTTAAATTGTTAAAGTTAAAGTTAAAGCCGTCAAAAATAGACTTCGTGCCCCCACCAAATCACGCAGAGAAAAAAAAACCTAACTAAATCCTGGACCCATGCATGGCCACATGGAATCTGGGTCTGGGATTTTTGTGCCATGGCCAAGACATGATCCAGCAAGAACAACCATTTGTCCCCACCTGACGGGGTGTCGACCCTTTCTTTGTGGGGGGAGCCATGTGTCTGAGAGGCCGAATGAGGTCCGTGGAGATCTCCGCCGTGAACTCGAGCACCTGCAAGACGGGAGCGCCCGTGGGTCGAGGTCGATCTGGGACTGGAAGGACCATCCATGCCCAGTCCATCGGAATAGTGGACACACGCAGGACATCATAAGGACTTCATATCTAGAATTGATTTACCAGGACCTTCCCGGTGACCTCTGCAGGATTGGTATACAGTGACCTTTTCAAGGCCGTTTTGTGACCTCAGCCACTGGGATCTCAAGTTAGGTCACTGGGAAGCTCCTGGTAAAGGACTCTGACTCTGATTGTGAATTTATGTGCAGGTTCCGCACACTATGCAGAACTTGCTCACAATAGTTGGGGTTTCGGTCGACCAGTCCTCGGAATTCGTGAGAACGTACTTTATGATGCCGATGATTGGTGGACATCGGACATCAATCACATATATAGCTGGGATGATGAACAGGCTTCGCAGTTTTTTCACGAGCTCAGCATATCTATGGGTCACTCTCCAACCACGAAAGACGTTTCCACTAAACCAGTTGAATTGGTCGAAAAAGGCGGGGTCCATACCACCACAGAAATCCCAGCGTCTCCCACCAGACAAAACCAGTCAGAACAGAGCTTCAGCTTCCGCCTCATAGAGATGTTGCCGCCGCATTTCCTCGATGAAAGGGGTTTGTGTGCCATCTGCAGTGGCCTCAGGGCACCCGCAACCGTTGGAGAGGAGAACAGGACGACACTAAGGACGAGGGTTTAGGGTTTAGGGTTTAGGACTGTAGGGCAGTCCGAAAAGGCGGTTCCTTCTTCGTGAGAAGCAGTTGCAAGTGAATCAAGTGAATGCCAAAAAAAAGCTGAGCAGTTGGAACATGACCAACGTCGTGATCTTGCAAACGATATGAACAGCGAAGTTGGAACCTCCAACAGTTCCTTATGTCCAACACCTGCAAGGAAGGGATATCACGGATACGTGATCCAAACCGCGACAACATATACCTTGGTTGCTGCCTATCCTTTAAATAATTCACTTCACTTCAGCCTCCGTTGCCCCTGCTTCAAGACCACAGACTCGGCGTGCTGGGCTGCCCGAGCGGAGAAGAGGTCGCTCACGAAGGCGGCGTCCGGCGAGGAGGCACGACCCGCCTCGAACAGCAGCTCCAAGGTCTTGTGGAGTGCCTCCCAGGTCTTGTGGTTTTGAAATCCAGTGCAGACTTACAAAGCCAGCTTGTGGGATACACCATTGTACACCTCAGGTTGAGAGGACTGACACCCTCGTGAAACGGAAAGAGCAAGATCGATGGACTCCGACATGAGACGTAACGAGACATGAGACGAGACATGCCCCACATCCCAGGCCATTGGAACGTGTTTCCCCACTTCGGAGGCATCCACCTTCGTGGCTCCAAGGTCACGGCGGGAACTGGGGAAAGGGAAGACTGTCTGACGAAAGGGCCTTTAGGAGGCGTGCAATGGTTGAGCAGGGGTGTACAGGAGCTCAGGTGATGCAAATGAACAGAAGTGTCCATGGTTTCGAGAAATGAATGAAAGGACCACTCACTCAGTCAGTGATCCATGAGTCTATCAAGCGGCGATCAATGGATATAGTCATGAAAAAGAAGGCAGTGCTTTTGATCTATGTCTAGAAAGGAACAAATCGATGCGACATGTTGTTGTTCCAGGATATGTTTGTCTAAAAAACATACCTGCCAAAACACTCAAAGACTTCACCTCACGCAAACAAAGGAACAAAACAGTCGCTTCACGCGATGCTTGGTGCTTGCTTGAACGATTCGACGTTGCTCTTCTGCCCCAGCGCGCATCCTGCGCGGCATCCTGCGCATCCTGGGAAGCCCCCACTCGCATCAGGGAGTTCATTCGATCCACTGACTTCACTGGAAACGTGGCCTGACCAAGGCTGTGGCCGGTGGTTCGTTGCTTGACGGTCGTGGCCGGTGGGTCGTGGTGGCCTTAATGCTTGAAACTCTTCCAGATGCACTATAGGATTTAGTTTAAAGGTTTTCAAGGAGGCTAGGGTGACCAGGTGGCGAACTTGGGGGTTCATGTGAGAAGGGATATACATGAAGAAGTGAAGTGGCTACCCACCCAGTCGCCTTTCCGGCCTGTGTGGCTACCTCCCACGGTTTGCCGTTGCAAGGCCACCGATGTGTGGCGTCACCGATGTGTGGCTTTTTTGTCAACAAGACCATTCACCAATGCCATGGAGTCTGCAGGGAGATCTCAGGATGGATGTTGATTCTAAGAACCAATTAATTAGAGTGGTTTCAGAGTAGATGGCACTGGCACCCCAAGATGTCTTTTAGATTGGGGTCCTGAAAAAAAATCACCGACCTTGGGGATTGTGCCATCTACTCTGAAGCCACTGTAATGAGATCATGAGAGCTCACCCCAAACAAGACCCCCAGGTCCCCAGCATGAATTCATGACACGATGCCACGGAGCTCTCTGGAAACTCAACCCATCAACGTCCGGTGGTCGACCACCAAACCTTGCATCAATGATTGGATCCCCAAGGGATCAAATCCCAGTTCAGAACGAACCACCAGAGCCCCAAGTACCTTGGAAACATGACTCTATATATTCCACCAGGTATGACTGATTATGACTGGGGCCCCATCTTCTGAGCTACGAACTGAGACACCAGGTAGAATCACTAACGTGAAGGCCGTGCAAAGTTTCTTGCTGGTTGATTGAGGAATGTTTCTGTGAAAAAGGCCCGGAGGTTCTCATTCCGCTGCACAACAAGTGTAGCTCCAATTTCATGTGCAGACATCTAGACAGTCACCCGCCCCAACAAAAAGACATCAACAACACCCTATGAAGCCCAGTGTTGATCGCGACCTGGTTGCTGTGGTTTCCAGCTGTTCCAAAAAAAGATAATCTTCTTCCACCCTTGAAAAACCCGATTCCAACACCTCCTTGAGAACACACGGGAAAAAAAAAACCATTCGAAAACACCCTGAGAACACCCATTCCAAAGAAACCCTTCCAAAACCTGGCGTCCTCGCCTGCATCACTGCCCTCATGACCTGGCGGTTGACCTCACGCGCTAAGACCGACCGAGCCGGCATCCTGGGATCTGCCAGCGCCGGACCATTGGGGTTCCAAAGCAGGAGTCTGTTGGCATGAGTTGTTTGAAGCTGTTGACTTAAGGTCGGAGCTTGACCTACAAAGGTCAAGGGCGCACGATTGGTTAGACATCGGACCCCTTGACCTTTCGGGGATTTGATTATGACCCGACCTTCGAAGCTCTCGCGAGCGAAGCGAAGCTCACCCCTGCATGGTGTCACGACTAGGGATGGTGTCGATATTCGAAGAATTGATGACGGCAACTGGTCATCCTGGTTCATGTTGCCCCCCTTCTTGACATTCGATTCGAATGTTCTGTAGAATACCCTGCTCTTTTTGGAGTGTGAGGTAAAACGACACTTGGGCCTGCACGTAGGTGTAAGATGTGGGCAGCTCGGGAGGCGAGCCCGTGGTTCAAAGTTGCTTCAATGAGGCATACATTGGCCGCCCCTGTGATGCGTTCCAGTAGCCCATACAACCCCTTGACACAGAACACAAGCGGCCAGTGTTGATTCTGAGGTCACCCATTTCTTTCGCATCATGTAGGCAGATCATTCCCCACATAAAGAAGTATAACAATCCAAATTGGTGTGTAGCTATAGAGTGACCTCCCAGGCAACAACCCTCAACCCCCTGGAAGGTTCTTTACTAAAATCCCATGAGGCCAGGGGATCTCCCCATCAAAACACACATCCAAATGGTACGGTTGATTCATCGTCCGAGTCTACATGATCTGCCGGTCCCCAGGTCATCCAAAACCTCGAACCCAAAGGCTGTGATTCGGGTTAGCCGGTTCAGAAAGAAAAAAAGAGAAGCATTTATCACCCCAGACGTTGGAAGGGAAGAGCATTCAACTCAAACAACCCACCCAAGACATAAACAACACATAATAACACTTTACTTCGAATGATCCCCACCATGATATTCGAGTTTACAGTGTACAGTGATCAAATCTAACAACCCTCACCTGGCAGCTGGGGAAGAAACCTCCCCTCTCCAGCCCCCCCGAACCTGATCGCGGGTCGTCGGCTTGCCCGACCTCAAGGGCGTGGGTTCTGTGGGTGCGCATCCAGGTAGGATGGGTGGAGACGCACCCGACTCCACACCTTCCGTACCCGACTCCAGGGTATGCAACATGGTCTAAACTGGCCAGAACCGGGGTTCTACCAACAAGCCAGGGACTATTTACATATGATCCTTTTTGAGGGGGGGCTCCAGCAATTGACCATGACCTCCTCAAATTCATGCCTGGACATGCATGGACCCGACCATCCTGGCACCCATCCCGGATGACCTCAGACGGTACGCACTTCATTCACATCCTTCCCTTTTGAGGATTCACCCAGTTTGACGTTCGAACAATCCGCCGGATCTGCATCACCAAGGTCGAACGTCTCACCAACTCACTCACCAAGGTCGAAGCAGCTGGTAGGATCTACCATGATCTACCACTGCAGCTGGTCGCTGCTTCGCGCAGATCACGCAGTTCCTTTCTAGCCCAAAGCGATGTCACGCAGTCATTCTATGGACAGCCAGCACAGGATGGGTGGCATCAAAGCTTAAAAGCCTCTGACTGTGGATGGCCTGACTCCTGGGAAAATCTGTTTTCCTCTACAAACAGGGGTGCCATATCACTTCCATGTGTTCGCGGAGTGTAGAACTCAGACTGGAGGTCACTTGAGGGTCTTTCAACTTCATCCCGCCCAAACGGCAGTTCTGTTTTTTCTTCACCAGACTGGCCTTTGTCACGAAGTACTAGACGAGTAGCTTACCTCAAAAGGTGATCATAGAAAAAGTAAAGGGTGGAACTGCCAAAACACTCCTAACTGAGGACTGAGGCCATCTTCTTGATTTGCCGCACGATGTAACAAATCTCCATCTTCGTTCAAGAGAGCATCAACTCCGCCATTTTGCAAGAACCTGGACTCGACCTGGACCTTTCCTGAGATCTGTGTACCTCAAGACATAGCCGACTCAGAGTAGTCGGTTTTGTTTGGAGGACATCTGCGCCGAGCGTCTCAGTCCCCTCAGCTTAGGCAGCTAGACACGACATACCTAGTCGACCAGTCCGGCCAGTCCCGAGTGTCACGTTATAATCCATTGCACATCTGGACCCGACTTCAAGTACCTGAGACAATTGTAACATATTACCGAACTAAGAGGTACTTGAGGGTACTTGGGTATACTTGCTATACTTGCATACTGGAACCGTTTTCGGTACACGGTCGACGTCCAGGCCATCGATCCTGGCATGCCACCCTTCCGCTGGCGAACGCGCCAATCAGTACATCGATCCTAGTGTTTCGTCGCAGGAGACGCTTGTTCCGGAAGCCTTCGAAGTGAGCGCTGGCCGTTGCAAGTGCACCAAGAACAGTACGTAGAAGTCCGGTTCGGATGTCTTGAGAGCAAACTAGATGGGAAACACCTGCTGTCCCAGATTCTATCGTCATACTTCAGAAATCTTACAGCCATTGAAAGTGCCAAGTGATTGAAATACCCACTAATTGAGGCCAAAACCAGAATAGTGGGGATTGAGCGCAAATATGGGATTTGTTACTTACACAAATTAGTTGATCCCTTTGTCAGTTGAGTTAATTAGTCAATGCATGTCAATACTCAAATGAACAAGTGCTCCTGTTCTCTGACTCTGCATGAATATTAAAATGTTTCCTTTGATCAAACATGGTATGTCGTTGAACCACAAGTGATAGATTGTTAACCTCTTATGTTTCAAACCCTAACATAACTTGCGCCGTGTTTGTTTTATTGCTGCCGGGGAGATCAACATGTAAAACCTGACACACTGGCGCCATTGATTTTAGCTTGTTTTGCGAGAGGCACAAAAGGCCCTATGAATACTGGAACAGGAAAACGCCTCCAGTGACCTCTTCAGGATTGGCCTAAGTGACTTCATTAGGTCACTGGGAAGGTCCTGGGACAGGAATGAATGTTGCTAGATGTTGCGAGATCCTAAACCTCCAGTTCTTCCCAGTGACAAGTTTCCCATCTTGTTGCGAAGCAAAGAACTAGAGTCTAGAGTGAACTATCTAGGAGTTGACTCGAGGTTATCAAAAGAGTGGTGGAGTAATTTCAGCGTAGTGATGGCATAGATTTATCATAAAACCATACATGATAAAACCATAAAGGATATCTATAGCAGGATCCTCCAAAACTCGACGCCGTCAATGACCGCTTCAGCCGTGAAGGAAATCACAGGCTGGAATCAAAACCGGATGAGTGATGATTCATCTGCAGTACCCAAACACTCCATGGGACTGCCATATATGCCGCCCCATTGACCCCCAAAACCACCCTAATGTAAGCATGGCATATCTTGCGTTGCAAGTACCATCAGTTCGCCTGGCCCTTTTGATTGTGGCGCTTTTGGATGGTGGCAGTGAAGAGAAGTGAAGTATGTGGCAAACCGGAAGATCCCAGGTGGGTGTATTTTTAATCCCTAAGGATCCAAGTACCCTCTGAGAAGGTGTTTGGGGTGGGTTTGGAGGGTCCAAGTACCTTTTGAGGAGGTACTTGGATCCCTACTAGTAGATCTATAGTCCTTCTTCTAGGGTGTCGGACTCCCTAAACCGTATTTCATTGGACGACGTCTTGCAGTAATGTTGGATCCTGATTAGTAAATGGTGCCTCTATAATGCTAAATTTTTCCAAATTTATTTAGACCCCCCTGTTTGAAAAATGGTGCCTGTATAATGCTAAAAAAATTTTGGGCCCTAAATTTTTATAGTGGAAACCCAATAAATGAGGATTTGAATTCCTTCTGAACCCTGTCCACCTGCACTCCCCCCCTCCCTTCCCAAGCAAGCAGCCAGCAGCAAAGCAAAAGGATAATGAATACTACAATCAATTACAAAAGATCCCTCACCAGGAATCCAGATTTGTTTTGGTGATAGTTTATTATAGAGGACCTCCTGTTTGTTTGAGGGGGGGGGGGGCCCTATTTACTAATCAGGATCCAACATTAGCTTACTAATTAGTGACAGGACAGGACACTTTGCCAAGTGCAAAGACTGGGACACCTACATGCGCTGTGGCACGCACTTCTTCATGGGCTACAAACAAATCACCATTCTTTTCAGGCTTCCAAAGGGGCGATGGCCCCGAAACTCAAACTAAGGGGCACAAGCTGTGCCTTCCGCTAGAGCTAGAGGAAAAAGGTCATGACTCTCAGGACATCAAAAACACCCTCAAGATCAAACATTCCACCAGCTCATGTCCTCTCCCAATCAAACCGCTAGTCCATCTCGCTCTCTCATCGCTGCTCTCGAAAGTCAGACCCATCCTCTCAAGACCAGCCCTTCCCGCGCCAGTCACCGAGCGAGTGCTCCGTGCCACAACGCTTGGGCGCACCTTCAAAGGAGCGTCCCGGACGGTGCGAGCGACACCGCCAGGCCCAACCTGGCCGGCGAAATGACCGTGGCGGCCGCCGATGCGGCACCGTTGGTCTCGTTGATCTCGCGCAGCAATCCTCGGGGCGGCGGCGTCAGGAGCTGCGATGTATTGAAGGTTGACTGGACTTGTTGGAAAATGCGGACAGTTCCACCATGTTCAGTCATCCAAACACCCTTGAAGAGTGACTTGACAAAGAGTGCGAAACAACCTTTCCGCTTGGTATTGTCCTGCGGTATGATGACTCTGATGTATATTGTGTGGATTTGACGTGCAATTCATGTCGTGGTGTATGACTGTATGACTGAAGTCGGGAATGTCAGGTCCACTCTTCTACAAACAGCGCCCCTGAATCTGCATGTGTCTGGAAAACAATCCAATTCTGCCCCAAAGGAAAACACGTGCCCGGGGAGAAACACTGTTTTGTTGCAAAATTGGATCACCATGATCACCCTTCCTTTCCATGGATCTGGGATGAACAATCACACAACATCACACAACCATGCGCCAACAAAATTTGCACTGAAGACCATCGTCCCAGGTGCTGGCCATCATCATGTCCTCCTCCTGCTTCGTCACAGACACCGGCCCCGACGACACCACCGTGGGCGACGTCTCCGTTTGCTCCGCCCGCATCGCCGGGGTCGCCGCGCACGACATGGCGGGAGACCTGCAAACCTGGAGGCAGGTGCGGCACACGGAGCGGAGCTCCTGCGACGCCTCGTCGCGGAAGAGTGTGAAACCCACGGGTGGCCTCAGAGTGCAGTCAGATGGCGTGGACGTGGTGAGAAAGTTGGTTTACAGTATGTGAAACTTAATGGTTACATGATCGGTGGGTCTATACGAGCAGGACAGTGTCAATCAAATGGATGTCTTTGGGCATGGCAGGTTTGTCGTCTATGTGTGGGCATCCGCGGGAAGCTGACAGTTCCTGCAGTGATTCATTGGCCACCTTCAAGATCCTTAAAATAATGTGGTTGTCCCGGTCATGAAATGCCAGGCGTGGATCTAAGTTTTCAATGACGCCGTCATTCAAGATCATTGGTGGTCCTTGAAAGTGTAACATGATGTGTTACATATGTTTGGTCAAGGAACACAATAACATCCCTTAAAATTTGTTCTTTTTGAAGAATCATCTGATATATCACACGGATTCACCATCAATCATTCATCCATCAAAAACCTACCTACTGATCCGCCAATCCATCCCAAAGTGCCCATGGCCTCTTCTTCAAGTTCTTCCGCAGGTACTTCAAGTCGGCTGCTGTAAACAAGCCAAAGGCCATTCGCGCCTCTGCACGTGCCAGGGCTTCGACGCGCATGCCAGCGTAGTCCAGCTGCCGATCATCGTCGTCGCACGGGAGGATGCGTACAATTTCCGGCGTCTCCTTAGGCCACTTCCAGGATGCCTGGTAGAGGTTTGTTGCCAAAAATGGTATGTAGGCTCCAGAATGGTCTGTTGCTAAGCTGTTGGAAGGTATTTCAAGCACTGTTGAGTTCTGGGCCAGTGGAAGGCTGGGCCGATCTGAAGGTGCCAGTGTCGGCTTGTCTGATGTTTCTTAAACCTGAAAGACTCTAGGTGCTTCCCAAGTCTATACCCTATGGATTCAAGTACCCTCTGAGAAGGTGGGA